ATAGAAGGCTGCACTTTTCCACTGACCACAAAGGGAAGAAGGTACTTTACCACTGACCACCAATGGAAGGGTGCACTTAACCAGTGACCATCAATAGAAGACGGCACTTTTCCACTGACCACAAAGGGAAGAAGGTACTTTACCAATGACCACCAATGGAAGGGACACTTCACCACTGACTACCAATGGAAGGGAGATTTCACCCCTGACTACCAATGGAAGGCAGCACTTCTCCACTGATCACTAATGAGAGGGGGACACTACAACTTTCACTGCCTGTGTTTCTGTTCTGGCAATTATTTTTCATTTCATTTGATTAATATTTCTTAAAATAATTACCAATTAGGGACTCTAGAGCAGAGATATTACCCTTGGATTTCCTAGTTCTGCCCATCTACTGATGGAAATTTCACCATTGTGGGAGGCTGAGACGCAAAACAAGAGGAACAAAATCTCTCCCTTCTGGGTAGAGCAGAGACAAACTGCTGTGAGAAAATCTCACCATTGTCAGATGAGCAGAGACACAAAATACTGCAGGGAAATCGTTTATTAAAAAATGAAAGTTTGTTAGGTTTTGTAGAAAAAAGAGAGAGAAAACATACAATGGAATAATAAGTTACAGTAGTCAGGACGTCATAGGCCACATCAAAATTAAGCAGGAGCAGATATTGTAAGTCAGTCTAGTACACAAATGGGATCGACCATTCCACCTTCCCCAGAAGAAGAGAAAAGGAGGCAAGAGTGCCTATGAAAGGAAGAAAGAAAAGAGTAGAACAAATGGAGGTAGAGAGAAAAAGAAAGAAACATGTGACTCACGCAGACCTGCCCCATCTTTATATCTAAAGCTACTTCAATTTGGTCAGAAGGTAAGATCATCAGGGCCTATGGTGATATGAAAGAACGAAAGGCCTCTGTGTCCATAAATATGACCCATGGGCTCCACAAAGCTATAGATATGTTCAACAACCCAATCCTTAAGGGTGGGCACTGTGAATGACTGCCAATACCTGGAGATAACTGTACGTAGGGCAGCAATGAAAAAGTGGAGCAAAGTTTTAGAGAGCGTAGTACATGGTCCCTGGGGGATGGCAAGAAAAGTAAGCTGTGGGGTGTTGAGCATGGTGGAACCTGTGACCTGCCTACATACATCAAAAATGTTCTCCCGTAGAGGATGAATACGAGGAGAACGCCACCAAATATACAATAGAGTACTTGAAGACCCACAACGCCAATACATACATAATACATAAAGTTGGTGGACCTTGTAACTCATGAGTGAGAGTGCATGCCTTGGACCTAATGTGCATCTCCTGCTCCCAAGCCACAAAATAAAACAAACAGATGGCCTTAAAGGGAGAAGGGGGATGAAGCGGAGTTCCTAATCTCTTTAGGGACTGATAAGCATCCCGGAGCTGAAAATAGTGTAGCCAGCCATGAGATCCGGCAGCTTCAAGGGGATGAGCTCTGACCAGGGTTTAAGGCTCCTTAGGCAGGAGATCTTGACAAATTGGGGATGGCACAGTATGATTCCTAGATATAAAGGTGGGAGCCCCGACACCTGAAGGCAATGATGGATTATCCATAAGTGGAGTCATGGGTCCCAGATAAGAAGAGATGTTGATGGAGCTCAGTGAATGAGCACATTCCAAATCTTCAACTCAGAGGGCAAGGCAAAAGGTAAGGAGGGCCCAGACAGCCTATCCAATAGAGATAATTGTTCAATGGAGAATGGAAGCAGTGGAGAAATGTCTTTTTCAATAGTGACCCACTAGGGCAGAGACACAAATTACTGGGGGGAAATGTCACCATTGTGGGAGGGGCAGAGACACAAACTACTGCAGGGAAATCTCACCATTGTGGGAGGGGCAGAGACACAAACTGCTGCAGGGAAATCTCACCATTGTGGGAGGGGCAGAGACACAAACTACTGAAGGGAAGTCTCACCATTGTCGGAGGGGCAGAGGCATAAACTACTGAAGAGAAGTCTCACCATTGTGGGAGGGGCAGGGGCACAAACTACTGGGGGAAAAATCTCACCATTACTTAAGGAGAACAAAGTCTTGGCACATTATGAACCCACTAGTCACACAGATACCCCAGTTTATACAATGCAATCTAGTGACAGGATTCCTTTTAAAGAAAATAGAAAAGCTTTAACGTGGTCATAGCACTGACAATTTACGCAGTGCTTTACATAGTGCACATTCACATGCCCTGAAGGAGCTTACAGTCTAAGGTCCCTATCTCACATGCATACATACAAGGATAAATCCAGCATGTCTTTGGAGTGTGGGAGGAAACCGTAGTACCCGGAGGAAACTTACACAAGCACAGGGAGAACATGGGAACTCCTCGAAGCCACTGTGCTGCACATACCTGAGTACTATCTACTGACCAACTTTCAGAAATAGAGCTCCATCGGTGGAAGGGGGGTGAAGAAAGTATTAGCAATCACTTTATAGTCTAATATTTTGCTACATATGGACATATTACAGGTTAACCTTAAAGTGTATGTCCAGTCAAAACTTTTAATTTTTTATCTTTCAACAATCAAGTCCAGGCGACACACTGCTTTGTTTTTTTCTTTATGTTAAAAAAATTAAAATCTTGACGATTTTAAATTTTAATGGAGTGGTGACGGCTTAGAACCCCTGTCAGTTTTCACTGTTATCTGGAGCTCCATTAGGGAGATTTCCCCTCATTTCCTGTCCTGGTGACTACAGTTCCACCAGACAGGAAGTGAAGGAATATCTGCAACAAGTACACAGACAGAAATCTAACAGGGGTTCTAGCATTCCCCTAGTCTACTAAAGAAAAGCATATTTATATCTGTCTGTGTCCCTGTTGCAAAGTTCCCTTCAGTACTTGTCCTGGCATTTTACCAGAAAGGAGGTGAGGGGAAAATCTCTATTTTGGAGACCCAGTTAGCAGGGGTTCCAGAAGCGTCCTCAGACTGGGTGTCACCTGGTGCGGCTGCCAGGTGTCACTTGGTAGGACATCATATGCACACGAGTATGACATCATCGCGCACACGCGTAATGATGTCAGACGCTCTTAAGTGTAGGTCGCCATCTTGGTGATGGAAGCCAGAAAAGAGAGGAGAGGCATTCATCCAGCGGGAGAAGGTATGTGCCGGGTCCCCTCCTCTCTCCTGCAGCTTCATGACCAAGTCAGTCCATGACCAAGTGCCTGACTTTTCAGAGGGGGTGACACCAAAATCACTGTCATTTTGGTGTCACCCCCTCTGATGGTGTCACTCGGTGCGGGCTACTTTTCTCAATATATCTGAGCTCCTAGACTTAATCCTACCCACCTAAATTAAATTATCCTAATAAAGCAGCAGGTGTGCTGGTGTATAAAATGCACCACACGTATCAATAAAATCCACAATCACTCTGCGCTCATATAGAGTAGATATATTAGCGCAGAATGATTGTGGATTTTATTCACACCCCCCACTGAGGGGTTCTAATTCTTTTTTCCACCGCATCCAAAATTAAAAGCCAATGTTTTGGCTGGACATACGCTTTAAGGATGGTATTGTGACTTTGGACCACGGGCACAGTTCCGGACCCTCATTTTCAGATCCTAGAATTATGTCTGGAAATATGGAAGATGTAAACTTACTTTTTTTTACACCTCTGGACAAGTCAGCAGTTCTCCCCACACCAAAATCTAACTTTTCCCTAAACATTACGAAATCTATTTCAGGTTCCCCCTGGCTCATATTCATGTGTATTAATTTTACCAGCTTTGTGTGTGCTGGGTGTCCTCTTCTGGCACAAGAGGGGTTATTGAGTGCCCAGCTCTGCTCTTGTTACATTGTATCACTTGCAGAGTCCAGTGACCCCTCCAGGCTCCACTGTGCGGGAATGAAGGGGTTAATGTGTACCCAACTCTGCTCTTTTTACATTGTACCATCTGCATTGTCCAGTGACCCCTCAAGGCTCCACTGTGCGGGAATGAAGGGGTTAATGTGTACCCAGCTCAGGTCTTCTTACATTGTATCACCTGCAGAGTCCAGTGACCCCTCCAGGCTCCACTCTGCGGGAATGAAGGGGTTAATGGGTGTCCAAGCTCTGCTCTTGTTACATTGTATCACCCTCAGAGTCCAGGCTTCCCTCTGCGGGACTGAAGGGGTTAATGTGTGCCCAGCTCTGCTCTTGTTACATTGTATCACCTGCATTGTCCAGTGACCCCTCCAGGCTCCACCCTGCGGGACTGAAGGGGTTAATGGGTGCCCAGCTCTGCTCTTGTTACATTGTATCACTTACAGAGTCTAGGCTTCCCTCTGCGGGACTGAAGGTGTTAATGGGTGCCCAGCTCTGCTCTTGTTACATTATATCACTTGCAGAGTCCAGGCTTCCCTCTGCGGGAATGAAGGGGTTAATGAGTGCCCAGCTCTGCTCTTGTTACATTGTATCACTTGCAGAGTCCAGTGACCCCTCCAGGCTCCACTGTGCGGGAATGAAGGGGTTAATGTGTACCCAACTCTGCTCTTCTTACATTGTACCACCTGCATTGTCCAGTGACCCCTCCAGGCTCCACCCTGCGGGACTGAAGGGGTTAATGGGTGCCCAGCTCTGCTCTTGTTACATTATATCACTTGCAGAGTCCAGGCTTCCCTCTGCGGGAATGAAGGGGTTAATGAGTTCCCAGCTCTGCTCTTGTTACATTGTATCACCTGCAGCGTCCAGTGACCCCCTCCAGGCTCCACTCTGAGGGAATGAAGGGGTTAATGGGGATTTCTGTAACCAGCAGAGACTCAGGAGCTTGCACTCTATTGCCACTTCTTACCCTGTCCTTTTACTTCCTTTTTCACCTTTAATCACCACCCCCAATTTCCTCCCAATACTAGTCATTTCTTCCATTTCCGCCTTCATATCATTTCTAATAACACTCCATATTACTCCTCCCCTCCCCCTTTCCTTCCTTCCCCCTTTCCACTTCCTTCCCCTTCCCCCATTCTACCCTCCCCCTCTTCTCTCTCCCTCCATTTCCTTCCTCCATATCTCTCTCCCTCCTCCTATGTCCCTGGCACGTTTCCTGGTGCGGCCCCTTTAAGAGGCAGAGCTCAGTGCTGGGAATCCACGTCAGTGTCAGGAGTGGACTCTCCACACTGACATCAATGAGGGAGGAAGAGAGAGAGGGGGGCACCCGGGCTTCCTGGAAACACCCCTCCCCCACCATGTGCTGCCACTGCTGCTAACTTCTGGAGTCTGGGGAGACTGCACCCCCCAATCCCCAGACTGGGGGGCGACACTGAGCGGCTGCCATGTGTGCTGCACACTTCCACATTAAGGTGAGAAGAGAACGTGTGTGTGTTCCCTGGGCTGAGCTACATACACAACATAACATAACACAACACACAAATATTGTCATTGTGTCTCCTCCTCTCTTCTCATCAGCACAACAAAGTTTCTTTTTCTTGCTAAACATTTACACAGCAAAGAAAACAAACCGACTTCTCGGGGGAGAGAGAGAGAGGATCGCCTTGGGGGGAGAAGGGTTAAACTGTGCTTATTGTTAGACATGTATGTAGCGCCGACATATACTGGAGTGCTGTACAGTCCCCTCAGTCTCTGCACCGGAGGAGCTTACACTCTCCACAGTCACATACTACTACTACTATTGTTATTATTGGTTTATATATAGCTCCCACATAGGCTGCAGGGCTGTACAGAGAACACTGAGCCAGTCACATCAGTCTCTGCACCAGAGGAGCTTACACTCTATTATACCACCATGGGAACACACTAGTTGTTGTTGTTGTTATTATTATTATTATTCTGTTATACATTTTATACAGCACTCTGACATACTGGAGTGGTGTACAGTCTCTGTACCAGAAGAGCTCACACTCTAATATACCACCATGGTCTTATTATTATTATTATTATTCATTTATATAGAGCTGACATATACTGCAGTGCTGTACAGAGAACACGGAGCCAGTCACATCAGTCTCTCACCAGAGGAGCTTATGCTCTAATGTCCCACCATGCTCACACACTAGTAGTTGTTGTTGTTGTTCTGTTATACGTTTATATATAGCTCTGACATATACTGGAGTGGTGTACAGTCTCTACCAAAAGAGCTTACACTCTCTATTATACCACCATGGATTATTATTATTTTATATAGCTCTGACATATACTGGAGTGCTGTACAGTCTCTGTACCAAAAGAGCTTACACTCTGTTATATTTTATATAGCTCTGACATATACTGGAGTGCTGTACGATCACATCAGGCTATGCACCAGAGGAGCTTACACACTGATGTCCCTCCACAGTCTCGTAGTACTATTACTGCTTTATATAGCTCTGACATATACTGCAGTGTTGTACAGAGAACACTGAGCCAGTCACATCAGCCTCTGCACGAGAGGAGCTTACACTCTCCACAGTCCCATTCTCCTACTATTATGGAATGATATAGCTCCCACATATACTATTGTGCTGTACAGAGAACACTAAACCAGTCGTATCAGTCCCTGTAACAGAGGAACTTGCTCTCTAATGTCTCCACCACAGTTACACAAATAATATTAATAATATACCTTTTTATATAGCTCTGACATATACAGGAGTGCTGTGCAGTCACATCATGTGTCAGAGGAGCTTACGCTCTAATGTCCCTCGACAGACACGCACTATTATGATTATGCATTTATATAGCTCTGACATATACTGCAGTGCTGTACAGAGATCACCGAACCAGTCGCATCAGTCTCTGCGTCAGAGGAGCTTACAAGTCCCCACCACAGTCACACACTTATTATTATACTGTTCTACATTTTTATAGCTCTGACATATGCTGGAGTGCTGTACAGTCACACACATTATTAGGATTATTATAAACATTTACATAGCTCTGACATATATTGCAGTGCTGTACAGAGAACACTGAGCCAGTCACATCAGTCTCTGCACCAGAGGAGCTTACAATCTGTCTCCCTACAGCATGGGTGGGCAACTCTGGCCTTCCAGCTGTTGTGGAACTACAAGTCCCATGAGTCATTGCAAGACTGACCCTTACAGGCCTGACTCCCAGAGACAGAGGCGCGGTGGGTTTTGTAGGTAAATCACAGCTGGAGGGCCGGAGTTGCCCACCCGCGACCTACAGTCACACATTAGGGCCAGTTTTGGTCAGGCCGCAGTGAACCTTCAGCTTTGATTTGTGGGGTGATGTTGGGGAAGTGAACACAAGTATAGGGGGACAGGCTAACTCATGTATATGGAACCTGGTGGGAATTGATCCTGAGAGCCCAGTGCTGAAAAGTGTTAACTGAGCATTGACAGGTTCTCTTTACAACCAGCTTTTTGGAGCTAGGTGATGACGGGGAGGTTTATAGGATAACCATGTTATTACCGAGGAGGATACGCCCCCTCCACCTACAACTTAAACCTACGTGACTTTTGGGCGGACTTGGACTTTACTGAATCTCAGGTTTGTTGATATTAATGGGGTTACTGAGATCTCTCATGGGGCGGTATGTGGGAGCTGTGTCAAAGTTTATATAAAGGGGGTCACCAGCACACACCCTTTTAAAGTGATCAGCAAAAAGTCCATTTTAATGAAAAGTTGCCATCAATTGCTTTAGCAACAGTGTGCTGGTGACCCCCCTTTATATTTGTATGCTTATCCCGGGGTCATCGGTGGTCACTACAAGCACCCACCTCTATGCACAGGTCATCTATTGATCGGGTAAGGAGCGCAGCAAGATGCATCCACTTGCCGAAAGTTTTGGGGATCTGACTCCTTGTGCCCAACCAGCGCCACTCTGGGACATCATACAATTCTTTATACAGTAACTGGCATACGGTTACATTTCCTTTCCCATCAGTGAAGCAATTGGCCTGTGCCAGTTGGCAGTTAGTGGGTTAAGCAGAGCTCAGCCATGCCCCCCCCCTTCCCCCAGCGCCAGTTTCCGCCATCTTTAGGCCTGGCATAGGCCCTGGAGGTTGGATTGGGAAACGCTCTGACATTTATTTCTGGTTAGTCAGTCGGGGAAGTTGCAGACAGCTGAGAAAGGAGGAAATGAAACCAGAAGCTACCGATCCGTTTTTCTCTTCTAAATATATACGTTGTTTCTACAATTCGATATGTTTTCTAGACTGTTGTGCATTTTATGGCCAGAGCTGTGAAACATTATCTTTTTATTAGTGTTTATGTACACAGCCTATAAAGGGTTACATTTGGGTGTATGCGCTGTGCTGGCCTGCCTGGCATTTATAGGGTTAAGTCCGGCGCTGGATTTAAACTTTTTGGGGCTTTTTCGCTTCCTGTTTCCGGGAAGATTTTACAAATCCTGAGAAGAACGGGCTGCTGATGCTGCTGTGGCTTTTGCGTTTCATCTTCCTGGGTCTTAGAGGTGGTGAAACATCTGTAGCAGTGATTTTCGAAGTGGGTTGCTCACGTGAACCAATAGGGAAGGACTGCAAACTCGAAGGAAATGGACTAAAGAAAAAAAAGTCTCTGGT